GAAAAGTTGCCCCACTGAGACATGTTGCTGGGTGGGAAGAGGAGAGGATCAAGGTGAAGAAGATTGAAATTGTGGTGATGAGCTTCCAAAAGTGATGAGTTGTCTTTCCTTTTTGCTTTGCTCTGTCAAGTTCTGAGTCAGTGTTAGTGAATGAATGAAGGCGAGGCGAGGAGCAGCTGGTAGCAGTTGAAGCTGCTTTGGAATGAACAAATGACAACACACCTTAAAATGACGACACTTTAGTAGATTTGTGAACGCGCGCGCGCGCGCGAAGAAGGAAAATTCGTATTCGAACTATTCGAAGTTAGTTAGATAAACAATGCTCAATCAAACCAAGTTCAGAATTGATCCAAAAGCACAATTTAAAAAATACCGATCTAAAAAAGAGAGTTCCACATTTTTGCCACCAGAAACCAGCCCTCCTGCCCTCCTGCAAACTAAATTAGTGATTTAGTACTCCACACTTCAAAACTACAGCATTAGTTCCCCCAGCCCTTCTATTGTATCTCACTCTTACACTGAATACCTTGGAATTGCCTGACACAGTAAACTCACACACACACACACATCGCTGGATGATGACATTGATGAGTGGTAGTGGTGACTGATTGGGGTGAGGGGGGCGCTGATGCTCACTGATGACCGCTGAGAGTGAGGGTGACGTACAGGAGAGAGTGAGTGTACAGCTCAGGCAGTCTCAGTCGACTGGGAGACACCGAGCAGAGCAGACGTTGTCTGTTGTTGTCTGCTGTTTGGCTGCTGCTCTGCTCGCTGTCTCCCGGTCGACTGTGGCACCCTGACCTAGCCCTCCTTCAAGATCAACTCAAGGAGGTGGATGGCATCCACTTCACCCGTCTCCTCCATCATCATCCTCATCCTCGTCCTCCTCCCCCGAAGTCCCTTCGGCGACTTCTTCCTCTTCAGATAAGTATTTCTGTTGTTGTGTTTTCAGATCTTGATACTTTGTGTAACCTTTGCTTTTGTTTTCCTTTGCAGACTTCTCTCTTCCTCTCTGGAGCACTGTCTGCCCAGTGCTGATCATCACCACTGCTACCGCCATCATCATCATCTCTGGCTGCCGACTCGAGGCATTTGCTGGAGGACTTGGACGAGGACGACCCCAAGGATGGACGACAACAAGCCAAGTCGAAAAATTCATCACCACCGAAGCATCATAATCATCATCATCACCAGCAGCAGCAGCAGCAGAGGACTTCGAGGATGGCCTCAAAGATGGACGACAGCGCAAGTCTAGGATGGCACCGCCGAAGCATCATCATCATCACCAGCAGTCTTTGGCTGTCTAAACTGAGGACTTTGTTTCTATTTGTAAACCTTTGTATTGTTTAATGATTAAGAATGAATAAAGACATGTTTGAAGTATAATTTGAAAAGTGTTTTATTGGTTTATAAAAAAATACATAAAAAGGAAAAGAAAGAAAGGAAAAAAAGAAAGGAAAGGCAGCAACCCATGGCCTCCTCTCCCTCTACTTACCCATCCTCATCGCCGTCTTCAGACAGTCGACCGTCCTTGTCGACCGTCCTCTTCGGTCCCCCCACGTCCGAGGAGGGACAGTAATATCTTGAGGGACCTGATCTTTTGATTACCCAGCAAATGTGCAAGGAGGAAAGAGCGGTCGAGACGCTCCAAGCACTAGCTGCGCACCATTTATGGCTGGTGTTCCCCACCTCTTCAGCAGATCGACCGCCAGTGTCGACTGCCTCTTCGCCCCGGCGTCGTCGGTCGTCGGTCTTCAGTCTTCAGTTTTCGGTCTTCGTTTTCGTCGTCGTCGTCGGTCCTCGCTGCCATCCATCCTGATCGTCCTCGGTCCTCGTCGTCGTCAGTCCTGGTCGTCCTCCATCCTGGTCGCCATCCATCCGGGTCGTCGTCGGTCCTGGGGCTCGCTGGAAAAAGGCTAAAGGTTAGAATGGCCAGGTGCTAATCACGCTGGCCATGGGTTGCTGCCCAGGGAAGGAAAGAGAAAGAGAAAAGGAAAGAAAGAAAGATGAAAAACACCAGCATAGACACTGGTGTTCTGGTGGTGAGTATGATGATGAGGGTGATGTTCTTCAGCCCGGTGTGCGGGCGCAGGTGCCATTTGAAGGGCGCGAGATTGAGAGAGGCCATGGTGACTGAAAGGAAAGAGCAAAAGTTAGAAACCAAAACAAACAAGCTATGATCAAGGACTTACCATTGTCGGTGAGACTTGAGATGATCTTCGCCATCACAACAAAGAGCGCCCGCGGGCGTTATCACCAGCGGCGGCGACGGCATGACCGTCCTCGTCGGTGTCTGTACGGCAAATGAGGCGACTGTGGCGCCAGCGATAGCGGCGGCAGCAGCAGACAGTCTGATGACAGCTGTCAGGGGTGCCATCCTTAGATGCAATGCAAGATACCAAAATGGGAACTTCAAATGCGGATATCTCGGGAAGTACTCGAGCTATCGAAGTTTCGCTTGCGCAGGGACACTCCACTAAGCGTTCTGCGTCGAATGGGACCATAAAACGGGGAGGTCAGATTTTTAACCAAATCGGCCAAATCTGTAAGTCTATAGCCTTGCAGATTTTGAAAATCTGGCCAAAAAATTTTTATTGCAGATTCTGACAGTACTCGGCGAGAGGACTCCAAATCTGAAAGAATTTTTGCTCCAGGACCACGGGAACATGGTCAATTTTAATTTTAAAGTTAATTAAAATTGTCATGTTTATCTGACAACCGCTAGACGGCGCTAGGGGTTCTACAAAGTTTATTTTTCTGGTATTCTGAACACGAGAAAAATAAAATTTACGGACGATTTTTTGACGCCACTTTCAAGATGGCGACGCTGGTGGCGTTCCTAGCGGCCAACATTGGAAACTGCTTGCTTTTGATGATCAATTCTGCTAATTTTTTAAATGAGTTTTTCTCGGGTTTGGAGCATCGTAAAATGATGAAACTTGCTCTAAATAAAAGCTAAAGACTTGGCACACAATCTATTTGTAAAATAAATTAGTTTTGACAGGTTTTGGTATAGTAAAAGTAGCATTTAAAACTTTAAAACTAGATTTAAACAGAAAAAACTTGTTTAAACTAATTTATTTTACACACAAACTGTGCGCCAAGTCTTTAGCTTTTATTTAAAGCAACTTTGAGCTCTTTACGACGCTCCATGCCTAAGAAACGCTCATTTAAAAAATTGCCAGAATTAATCATCAAAAGCGAGCAGTTTCCAATGTTAACCGCTAGGAACGCCACCAGCGTCGCCATCTTGAAAGTGGCGTCAAAAAATCGCCCGTGAATTTTATTTTTCTCGTGTTCAGAAAAACGTGAAAATAAAGTTTGTGGAACCCCTGCTGCCATCTAGCGGTTGTCGGACGAACATGGCAAACGAATCTGACCAGCCTGCACCAAAGTACGGTAATTCAAAGCGAGCTTAAGTTTCAAAGTACCCGACAGATTCACCCGGGACTGCTCCTCGGGCAAGTGAGTAGTGATCTGAGGAGAGAGAGAGAGAGAGAGAGAGAGAGAGAAATTGGAGAACAAACTCCCTTTATTTTTGTGTTTTTTCGAAACAATACATTTGTGTGTCACAAGGGAGTGGTGGTGGTACTTTGAGCAATAGCATAACTATACACAACTATTGTGTGTGAACTGCCTGTGTGTGTGTGTGGTGTTTGAAAAGAGGTGAGAGAGAGACTGAAAGCTAAAATCAAAAAGAAGATAAAAGAGGAATTTCGTTTTGTAGTGGTAATGGAATGCTAGAACACTCCCGGTCTAGTCTAGCAAATTTGCTTCCCAGGGATTGTCTTTTCACTGGTGGTAGTAGTGGTGGTTGTTCGCTTGGGCGAAGACGCGCTCCAGCACCTCAAAGATCAGCTCGCTGGGAGCGGTGGCGGTGAACTGGTGCCAGGCGCCAGAGGAAGAAGAAGAAGAAGAAGAGGAAGAGGAGATGATCAGCTCGGCCGCGTGGAAGACGACAAACTTCAGGCAGTTCTCCTTCAGCGTGGGCGCATTGTGGCGGTCGGCGTGCACCAGGTGGGCGAACACCGAGTCGGTGGTCAGCTGGAGGGAGAGCTGCTGCTCGCAGGCGACCTTCAGGGCGGTCACTTCGTACTGGGTGGGAAGGGAGTAAAGAGAATCAGTACACAAAGATAATCAATTAGCCAAACAGAGCTGGACATACCTTGTCGGCGGCAGAGAGCAGCTCCAGCGTAAAGTCCTCCTCGGCGGCCAGCGCACCGGTGTAGATGAAGAGCAGCAGCGAGTGGACCGTCTTCGCCGACAGGTCGCGAATGACCACCCGCCGCTCCTGGGCCTCGCGGGTGTTCCCGTTGCGCAGTAGCATCGCCTCAAAGACCACCGAGTGGGCCGTCAGGTACAGCTGGTGCACGTTGAAGGTGGTCACGCTGTTGTCGTCGGCGTCGTCGTCGTCGTTAGCAGTGCCTGGCTGCTGCTGATCCTGCTGCTGCTGCTCCTGCTGCTTCTTCTTCTTCATCACCACCAACTTCAGATCGCTGCCGGCGCCCCGCTCCAGCAGGGACTTCATTGTCTGCGAGTGTCCATTCCCTGCATTGTTGCCACTGAGCAGGTGGTAGTTGGGCAGGCTGGGGGTGAAGACGCCCGAGTAGAGGTCCGAGGTGTAGTGGCCGAAGATCTGGAAAAGGGAGTTGGGCAGAGAGAGAGAGAGAGAGAGATTAAGTGCCACAGACGACGCAAATCCCAACCACTTACATCAAAGACCAGCTCCAGCGAGTCATTGGCGCCAAAGAAGCTGTGGTCCAGATCGAAGCAGAAGTAGTTCGACACATTTCCGCGTCCTCCTCCGGTCATTGCCTGCTTGTACTTTTTCACTGGGTGGGCGAGAAGAAGAAGAAGAAGAAGAAGAAGAAGAAGAAGAAGAAGAAGGTGGTGATAATTTAGAACAACTGTGGTGTCTCCCACTTCTACTACTTACGCCAGACCATGTGCTTGGAGCCGTTCTTCCTGATGACGTTCACCTCAGCGTCGAGCATGATGAAGGCGCCCTCCTTCCAGTGCAGATGGGCCGCGGCGGAGTCGCTGAAGGGCGTCGACGTCAGGCAGACGTCCGGCGGCAGGATGTTGCAGTTGTCCACTTTGCCACGGCCAAGCTGCTGCTGCTGTTGCTGCTGCTGCTGCGATCGATAGTGGTAGTCCACGCCAAAGTCGCTGCCCGCCGGACAGAGCTCCACCTCGAAGCGCAGGCCATGCTCAAGGGCGTAGAAGGTGGGCGAGGAGGGCACCCGCTGGCAGGGCTCAAAGTGGCGCCGGTAGACGTTGAACTGGTCGACGCGCCAGTGGTGCCGCACCCGAAACTCCGTCATCGGCGTCACCGAGGAGGATTCGTAGAAGGGAAGGGCGGCGGCAGAAGAAGAGGCAGAAGGGGGAGAAATAGAACTTGAGCCTGAGCCAGAGTTTGAGCTTGAGTTTGAGCCTGAGCCAAGGTCCCGCGGGCTGGTGGTCGCCGCCGTAGCAGTTGGAGAGTAGCGGCGGTGGCGATGGAATTGGCGGTGTTGGGGTTGGCTGTAGTCCATAACTTGGTGGTGGTGGTGGTGGTGGTGGTGGTGGTGAAATCGAATCGAATCGTAAAGACAATCGACGAGTAGGGGAGAGAGTGAATGAATGAATGAATGGAGAAGGGAATGTCTTGAGGAATGTTCTGAAGAGAAAGAGAAATAGAAATAGAAAGGCGGCGAAGAGGCGGCGGCAGAGGAGGAGGAGGACGTGATGCTTCTCCTTCGGCGGCCGAGAACGTTCTGAGGACAAGTGCGAGCGAGCGAGCGAGCTAACGAGCTAGCGTCCTAGCGAGCTAGCGGCGGACACACACTGTGTGGCACGTAGTAGCAGCAGCAGCAGCAGAATGAGTCAGATCTGAGTGATGATACGCAGTGGAAGTAGCAGCAGCAGCATCAGCAACGACGTCAGCCCAACGACAACACACACACCACAACTCGTTCACTCCCGTTTCTATTTCTATTTCTCCCTCTTCCTTATCAGCAGCGCTCGTCTGTTTGCAAAAGTAATCTCTCTGACCAGAGGATCAGTTATTCAACCACTGAGCTGCTGACCACCATCACGCTGGTGTCCACCGGAGAAAACAGGTGCTAAAGGAGTTCAAAACCAAACTTTAGTGCTGCTGCTTCTGGTGTACAAACACAACAATCGTGGTAGTGGATAGTGGTCTTATCTGTGGACAACTCTTTCTTCTTCTTCTCCCTAACCTTCAGCGCTCAATGGCGACAAAGTTCATCCGTTCGATGGCGTCGTAGCGGTAGTCAAAGAAGAGCTCCTCGCCGTCCTCGATGTGGCGGCGGGCGTAGATGCCGACGCGGTGGTCCCCATTGACCAGCTTCACCTGCTGCACGCAGTTGGCGTTCAGCGCCGAGTGGTTGGCGAAGCGAATTTTGTTCCCCTTCCTCTTCGCGTCCACCACTTGATCTGAAATATGAGGAAGATGACAAAGTTAGAACCGAGTTCTAAATTAGAAGCTCTTCTCAGCACTCACTTACCGGCATTGACATTGAAGAGGTAACTGGTCTTGCCCTTGTCGTACACCCGTCCCCGTCGGTCCGCTTCGCCCTGGGAGATCGTCTCGCCGCAGTACTCCGAAATGAGCTCGCCCTTCGCCGCCGCTCCCCTCAGGTAGACGCCCCAGCCGGACACTGTGGAGGGGCCGAGCAGCAGGTGCCGGTGCTGGCCGCGCTGGAGGGCCACGTTGCGGCAGCCGACGAGCTGCTTCTTCTGCTCGTGCTTCTTTTGCTCCAGTTCTCCACGCTCCGGCAGTTCAGCTACAAAAGAGGAAAAGTTTGGTAAAAAGAACACAGGTCACAAAAACCCAGCCCAGCCCAGCCCACGTACCTGCACCACAAATCTTGCACAGATCAGGATCGCACTCCCTGCCGGCGATCTGACAGGGACAGCGCCCGGTGAGACAGCCGCCCAGGCGGCACCGGCAGCCGGCGAAGCGGTTGCCGCAGCCTCGGCTGCTGCTGCTGCTGCAGCTGCAGTTGCAGAACTTCTCGCAGAAGGTGCCCCGTCGGCGACATTCGCAGTGCTCACCGGCACCGGCGCCCATGCACGACAGCCCCGGGTGGTGGCAGGGCCGGTAGCTCCACTGCCAAAAGAGCTCCTCCTGCTCCTCTTCCTCCCTCTTTCTTTTCTTTCCCTTCCTGAAGGACTTGTTGTACTTTGACCAGAGGGCCTCCCGGGCCCGTCTCGTGCTTGTTTTGCCGTTGTTGCTGCCGCCGCCGCCGCCATTGCTTCTGCCTTTGCTCCACTTCTGCCCCTCTGCAATCGCTCGCTTGATGGAGCGCCTCTCCTCGCCGGTCAGCGAGTGCTGGTAGTACGCCCACACCTCGGCGCAGCTTTTGTTGTTGTCGCTGCCTAGTACTCGGGCGATGGAGCAGAACTGTCGCTGGAAGGTGACCACCAGGACGTTGAAGAGCGTCTTCTCGGCGGCGGTGAAGTTGTGGTGGCGATGATCAAGAGGTGCCTGGAGAGGCGGCACTTTTTTCCTCCCGCCGGATTGCTTCGAAAAAGAGAGAAATGTGTGATTGTTAGAGGTAATGTAAACAGACGGCAAAAAATCTGCTTACAAAGTTGAGGTAGCAGTCCTCTCCACAGGGCTTAGAAGTGCCCTGGGCGAGCCATCCCTCGCTTTGGGGCTTACTGATGGGCTCGCAAAAGACTGCAAATGAAACGAAGTTAAGTTAAAGATGAGAAGTTGTGATAAAGAGAAGTTGTTGCTGTGAAGGCTAACCATGCGAGTTGCAGTCGTAGATGAAGCACTGCGGACAGAAGAGCTCCTGAAAGGAGTTCAGCGCCTCTTCGCGACTGTGAACCGCATTGTGGTCCTCCTCCTCATTTCCGTCAATGTTCGGCATCAGCGTGCTCACGTTCAGCGCCTCCTTGTTCTTCACCCGCTGGTAGTTTCGATATCTGTAGATAAAAAGAAGGTTAGTGAAATGTAAACAAAGTTACAGGCATACTTTTCCTTCAGCTCTTCAGGCGAGAAGGCGTAGTTGACAATGTACAGGGAGACCAGCTCAAAGGCGAGCTCTTGGTCGACGGCGATTGCTGTTGTAAAAGAGGATGATGGTAAAACAAATTTCTAAATAGAAGATATTGAAAAGGTTTTAATAGTCACATACGTTCTGCGGGAGCTTTTAGTGTCCTGGGCCACATCACTATGTCTCCCTCGCCCCAGGCCTGGCCGGTGATGACATCAACGGTGTCCGAGAGGATGTCATCGGTCATGAAGTGCTCCGCGGGCATGTGCACCCGATCGTCGTACAGCTCCAGCAGGTCGTCCTGCCACTCAATATCGTTCACCACCGAGTCGGCGATGTAGGGCACGTGGTGGAGCGTGGTCTCATCCGGGGCGAGCACATTTCGAAGCAGCGGCGCCCAGGTGCACCTGAAAGACACCGCAAAAAAGACACAAAAGTGTTAAAGTCTGTCTTGGTCAGTTTTTTCGGTGCTCAAAATACAAACATTTTAGGCAGCGGCAGCAGGAACTTCAAGGTGTACTGCGGCACTGCGTGAGTCTCGAATCGGTACTTTCTAGCGATGCGAGTCTAGGGATCAAATATACAAGAGATTAAAATGGAGAAT